CAACTGTAGATAAGTATTCTACGATTCATTTTTGCTCTTATGTATAATATGTTTTAAGTTGTAAAATTTTAGCATTCAAAGATTTTTGTTCCTTCTTTAAATTCAGATTTATTTCATTATTATTTAATTCAAATAAATTTTCTACAAGAAAGTATTAAAATTATTTTTATAAGAGTTTCGTTTCCTTAACATTACGTTCGCAAATCAAAATTTTATTTATTAAAAAAAAGGACCGGAAATTTTTCATTTTTTAACATCAATCAACTAACTTAAATAAACTTTAAAAGGATAAGTCTTTTTAAATTTCATTTAAGTTAGTTGTGATTTAGTGATTTCAAAAGTAATGCGACCGGTTTCGTCGAGATAATAATCGTTTTTTGTATCAAATACTATAAAAGAAATACAGTTAAAATTGTGTAAACGAATATTGCTAATATATCCAAGATTTTTAAGATTCTTTCAAACTTTTACAAAGCACCAATGTTTATTTAAAAAAAAACCTTTATTTTAGAATAAGTAATTAAAATTTTATTCAATTAAAATAATACTAGTGCGAATTTTTTTATTTAAATTTTAGGATATGTTTTGTTCAAATAATATCCAGAATTAACTACAATGTTTAAATCTGAATACACACACACACACACACACACACACACACACACACACACACACACACACACACACACACACACACACACACACACACACACACACCGGTTTTATATTTGTAAGAAGTATGCGCGCTCTGAAATGTTTTCAAAAGTTTGTATCTGTGTGACTTTGTCTAAATTCTTACATACGAAGAGAATTGATTAATCATTTATAAGTAAAATCTATTTGAAATACTTTTTATTTTTTAAAATGTTTATAAACATCGTTTTGTAAATTAAATAATAAAAATTTTTCAACGAAAAAAATTTTCGTTGTTACCACAACAATTTTATGAAAACAAATTTTGTTCGTTTCAAATTTTTTGCAAAATAATGGTAATACTTGGCGAATTTCAAAATGTGGAAAGTATCTGTCACGGAGAGCCTATTTGATTTGATTATGTGTGTGCTACTTAAAACGAATTGAACAAGACAGGCCGGTTTTATATTTGTAAGAAATATACGCGCTCTGAAATGTATTTAAAAGTTTGAAGTCAGTTAAAAAAAAATTTTTTTTATTACTAAATTTAATTTAACGTTGATTTTTTTGCAAAAAAGATCTGGGGAGTTGATGATAATATGTTGTTTTTCAACCTAAGCGAAATCATGTGATGTAGGAGAATCGTACTAGATCAGAAAAGTAAGTTATTTTTGGAATAGTGTTGAAAACGCTTCTCTTTTTTTTTTTTTTTTTGAATGGTGTTGCAAAAAACTTTTAATAATGTAAACATGATATTAATCTATTTTAGGCTCTTTTTTCGCAACTTATTAAAAATTATATAAGATGATTTTAATGATAAAAGATTACAAACGAGTTTAGCGTGCTTATTTTAAAATTAAATAATAAAAAATGAATTTTAAAATTAATTAATAAAAAAATCGGGCACATGGTTTTTTAATATTTTTCATGACCTAAAATAGGAATGGATGAAAGAAACACTTTTTATAGTAAAGTTTTTTAATTCTTTGATAAATATCTGACATTATTACATTGTAGTTAAATGTTTTAAATTTTTGAAGACTTCTAAATTTTTAACATTAAGTAGAAGCTTCTTATTTCAATTTATTATTTTTTGTTTACGTTTTGTCTTGTTTATTACGCTTTCGTCTTTTGAATATTCAAGTCTGAATTTTTTTTTTGTTATTTAAAAATATATTTTAAAATTGCTATTAACTTATTAAGTTAAAAACCTTTTGAATTTTATAAATTTGAATATTTGAGAAATCGCTTTTTCACAATACTTCAATATGTAAAGGTTTTATAAAATATTTATTGTTTATAATAATATTCAAATTCTAATACTAAATCTTATTAAATTGTTATATATATACACCCACAGATATATATATATATATATATATATATATATATATATATATATATATATATATATATATATATATATATATATATATATATATATATATATATATATATATATATATATATATATATGTATATATATATATATATATATGTATATATATATATATATATATATATATATATATATATATATATATATAAAATATTGTAAATATTGCAATAGTTCGTTTCACAAAGTGCTACAATGATATTATTACGCACAAATGAAAAATGCCATTAACGCAGAATAACGTTAATCGCGTAGGAATTTATTGCAATATATTGCGCATAGTTGATTAGCTGTGAAATTTTAACAATAAGTTAATAGTGATATAGGGGTAAACAAATCGTTTAAATAAATAAAGTTTCTCAAACAAATTTACTTTATGTTTGATTTGCACTTAGTCTTTAAACGGTTCAAGTAGACTGTTAACCACGTTGCCAACGGATACTCTTAAATTGTGCGTTTAGCCGTTATATCTATGGTCTCCTTTCATTGTAAAATCAAAAAAAAAAAAAATCAATTCATACATTTCTACTCATTTAATAATTAATCAATTGTTTTACTAACTTAATGATTTCCTCTGTGAAAGAAAAGTTTTGTGGGATTATGCTCACCGCATTACGAAATTATAGGTTCTAAATAGGCTTTTTAAACTAAAATAAAAAAAGTGGTCTTAATTCTAGTGTATTAATATGTGCATATTTTTTTCATTTTTGTTTTATTTTATTCAACTTTTAAGTCTGAGGGTCACTACAGTCAGGAAGATTTTTTTTCTTGTTTGCTTTGCAACAGTTTCTTAAAAATTTTGCTGACTCAATACTAAATATAAAATCAATAGTTTATTATTGGGCAAAAGTTTAATATTTTTTTGCCATTATTTCAGTGTTCTATACTAAATCTATATCAGCGAGTTCTAAATTTCATCCGATAACCTCAACCAACCTGATATAACATCACTTTATTTTTAAACAAAATTATTCAGTTAAATCGTCCTTAAATGAGCTAGAGAAAAACTCAGATTCTTTTGTGTTTTTTTATCCTTAGGCTCATTTAAGATACTTTGCAAAGGCAATTAAAAGTTTGCTTTGTACCTGAAAATTAATGTTACAAATCTTTTTTTTTTAATATTTGCCCGAAGCCAAACCATCATTATATTTTTAATGTAAATGTTTTTTTGTTATGGTTTTAATATCAACTTTTATTTTAGTTTTTAAAAGAAAAATCATGTCTACCTTCATATTATCTAAAACTGATGAAAAATTCGAAATAATTTTTTTTTGCAACAGTTCTTAATTTTCTCAAAACAGTTTCGAAAACTTTCCAGTAAATTCTACTATTTATTTCAAACAATACGTATGTTGTTGTTTTTATAAGAATGTCATAGAAACATTAATATGTCGCTATGTATTTAATAGATTAACTAAATGTTCTAGAAACGAGTTTTTCTCGTTTGCAAACCCCAAATTAATATTGCCCCCTCCCTTCCTCCCATTCTTTTTTTTTTTTTTTAAGAAATTTTGATTTTTTTTTTGTTATTGAAGAAGAATTTTCAAAGTTTTTTTTCTACCGTCTATTTTTTTGATAGTCCTAGTCAGAAGTTTTAAAAAATAGTTTTTTAGATATTTCATATTAGATATTACATGTTTTTGTCTTCTCTCGATCTTATTTTCCTTCAAATTTGTGTATTTTCCTCTGAAAATATCTTCCATTAAAAAATGTTCCTCTGATTCGGGCTTCTTGTTGATTTATTTTGTTGTAAATAAAGCCGTGGTAAGTTCTTTTTTTTTAGATGATATTGTAAATGCGTACCCTTAACGGCCGTTTTTCTATTCAAATAGACAACCGGACTGGTAATGTTACAAGTTCACTATTTTACCCATTGGGGCCATCCATAAAGGACGTCATCATTTTTTAGCCAATTTTTGACCCCTCCCCCCCCCCCCCCCTCCTTTGTCACCGGTTGTCCTTTTTCCCTATACCCCCCTTGAAAAGGACGTCATAAAATCCTGAACACCCCCCCACCCCCTATTTTTAACTCCAAAAAAATTTATTTCATCTCGCAATGATGTTTGAATCTGCTGCTACACTTTTGAAAAATAAAATTAAAAATATTCTCATACATTATCTTTTTAAAAACACATGTTTACGTAGTTTTCCATGTTAATTAAACTAAAATAAAAAATCTATAAAGTGACGTCCTTTTCTGACAACCTCCGCCCCTCCCCTTGTCCTTTTTTGTCCTTTTTAACTCGACCCCCTCCCTCCCCCTCTATTTGGATGACGTCCTTTATGGATGGCCCCATTACCGTTCCTAATATAAATGTATTTTTTGTACTTATGTTTTGATATTAACCAGATAAACTTCCGTGAGAAAAACATTTACATAATTCAACAAAAATTCGAGCTTAAGTTTGTTCTCCATATAATGCTCTATTAACAAAAATATATTTCACAAATATCGCGCATTTTTAACATAGTTTCTCTTGCTTATTTTTTTGCGTTAAAAATACTCTTTTTAGATCTAAATGTTGGTTTTATATGACGTTATAAATGTTTTTAGAATTTAATAATCAATATTAGAGAGGTATATATCTGTTTTCATAAAATACCAAATATTTTAAATTTTATGTTTTATATATCAAAATAAAAACTTCTATATAATTTAGTTTATAACGCACATCTAAGTTTATAACGAACATTTCGTAGACTAAAATTTCTTTGAAATGTAAGTTTTTTGAACAATTTGCTTTATGAACAATTTGCTAACTTTTTGAAAATTAAACATGATAACAAAGATAACTTATTCTCGACTAGTTTAAAATAAATGCTATATACTTTAAAAAAAGTTGACTGAACGTTTTCTTGAATTAAAAAGAGTATATATTTATATAAATGAAACTAGTAATATTAGAAGTAATAAATCTCAAAAGCAAAACTTTGCCGTTGTCATAACAACACAGTTTTAACACCATTGTTACATAAGTGAATATGATTCTTATTTGATAAATTAAATAAAAAGCGAATTATAGAAGGTTTTTGTACATTTATGGTTAAAATACATTTTTAGTTATGAAAAAATCGTCCATAATAAATTATATATTAAATTTTTGAATTAATATAGATATTAAAAACATTTTAACATTAAATCTTTGAGCATAAACTTTTTTTAATAAATTTTAAGTAAATTATTGAAAATTTTTATATATATTTATGTATAAACATATTTTTTGTCTGCTCTCTCAAATTTTGTATTTGTCTTTCTAAGAGTATTTTTTTTTTCTATTAACAAATACATACATTTCTTGACTTTAAAAAACGTTATGTTCGTTATTTTAAACGCATAGTCTTGAGAGGAGCACTTATAGTATAATATACCGAGCAACAGATATACCGAAAAAATAACATACCGAATTATATAATTTGTTTTTAAAAAAATCGTTGAAAAAATCTCACTCCAATGAAGATCTAGAAGAACACCAATCAGAGATGAGAGGTTTAATTATTTATTTTACTTATAGCTAATCCTCGCACATGTCTTATAAAAACATAAACAGTTTGAACTTGTTAACATTTTTTCGTTAGAAATGTCTAGTTATAAGCAAAATGTAAGTCGTACCTTTAAATTTAAGATATTTGTAAAAATTTGTCGCCGTTAAAATTCTATACACGAGGTTTTGGTTGCGCATTTTATGTATGTAAAGAGAAATTTTTCTTAACAAATACCTTTGTTTACATTTATAATAGCTTTTTTATATTTGCTTTTTTATAAGCACATTTATGTTGATCGATAGCTTGATGTGTTTTGTCAATCATCCAGTCTTGTTTCGAGGAGCGAAAAAGTTGCCAATATTTTTAATTTCTGTTGTAAATATATTTTTTTTGTTTAATGTAGGTCGGGAAAAGAGTTACCAATACGGAGCACATTTTTTTAACATTCTGAGAAAATGATTCCGCTTAGAGTGGGAATATGTATAGTGGACTACACCAGAAATAAACTTCAATTGCCTCACTTGCTTGAAAAACTTTGTGATGATGGAAGTATGGAATTTATTGTCATTGATATGAATAAGAGTTTGACTGAACAAGGTCCGTTTGATGTCATTATCCAAAAGGTTTTGGAATGGTACAACGTTGGCGAAGAACAAGGAAATGCGAAGTTACGGAAACTTGTCAGTTATGTCCGTTCTCACCAATCAATTAAAATGCTTGACCCTATAGAAGAAACAGTCCGATTGGCTGATAGATTTTACTCCATGGAAGTCATGAGAGACTGTCAATTCACAATGAAAGGAATACAGGTTTTTGTTCCAAAATATATATTTCTTGATGATTCTAATGTTAAAAACGCTTTAGATGTGATTGCTGCGGGTGGCATTAAGTTTCCTATCATAACTAAGCCCCCTGTCACTCGATGTGATGCTGAAGCTCATGATATGTCGATTATTTTTTCTGAAAGGCGCGCATGTGATATTGTTGCTCCCTGTGTGATTCAAGAGTTTGTTAACCACGGCAGTATGTTGTACAAGGTTGCAGCTGTTGGTGATAAAATGTACATATGCGAAAGGCCTTCTGTAAAAAATTTAGTAGGTGGCATTGAGCCTACTGTTTATTTTGATAGCATGACAGTTTCAAAACGCGATATTCACAATGAAGATTTGCATGAACAAAACCCTCAAACAATGAAGTTTCGTACAACTGCAGGTTCTTGTAAACATTTACTTGATAGCGAAATCGTTACTGAGTTATTGCGCCACATCAGCAACAGAGTCAATCTTAATTTATTCGGTATAGACATTATAATAGAAGAAAGAACGGGTAACTATGGCATTATTGACCTTAATTATCTCCCAAGTTACGATGGCGTTTTAGAATATTTTGCCGCTGACTTGTACAGTAAGCTTAAAGTTATTGACAAAGAGCGACTTTTTAAATGTAATTCACAGAACGGAACAATACACTCTACCAATAATGGTATAAGTGAACTTACGTCTGATATAAAAACTGTTCTTTAGTTGTAATTGTAAGTTTATTCTGTTCATTTTTTTTTTATTTTTGATGATTCTGACGACATAATATTAAGCGGAAAATGTTATTTAATGCTTGTTTTGAAATGTTACTGTGTTAAATTGTTAGCGCACGATGTTTTAACACTTAATTGATTAAATTACTCGGTTAATTATTTATTTTGACGTTCAATCACGAATCGTTTTTTAACAATGTTTCAAGACTCTAAAATTTAGGTCCAACAGTGTTTAAAAAAAAAATTGGGTTGGCTAAAAAGCAATAAGATTATTTTATTTTTTAGTTTATTTATAGCTTATTTATAATTCCATAAATAATTTTCAATATATATGACCTCCTGCCAACTTTTAGTCATAAAAAATGTTAAGCATTGTAATGGAAGTAAATAAAGTGCATTTGATGTTCTTCTTCGTCGTTAAATATTTCATTGCGCCAGTTGTTGCTAAATCATTAAAACAATAAACTGCAAGCCTGATGTAAAGTAAGAAGGGTGAATGAAGCAATGTTTCCAACCAAGTTCTGATAATTTCGACCGTCGAATTAGCAATGTTAATTAACATTGTAAAATCGACAATCGAAATTATTGGAGCTTAGCTGTTGCTACCCTATTTGCACCCGCCTTAATTAGGATGGGTGTTGCCATGGAAAAATTAAACTTTAGTGTTTCTCCAGCTTTTTTAAGACTCCTATTTGAAGCTTGTCTAGTTAAGTACAGTAAGTTGCTTCCAAAGCTGTGGTGTTTGAAGTAAGTTTCTGTGCCCTAACAAACCAAGATCAAGAGCCCATTTTAGTGTTGGTTAGTCTCTAGATTTAGTTGTTCCAGCCCCAACCATTTACACTGAGCGTTGCACTCCTGCTAAAACAGAAAATAGGTTATTAATCTGAGTACCAATGAATATTTTTAAAAAGTGTTAACACCGAGCATCATATATTTATTTTGTGCATAAAAAATTTATATGTTCGGAAAACCCGATTCAATCTATTAATCTTTGCAGACTGCAAAAACATTTTGTGATTTTTCTAAATTTTTGATCAATTTAGTCCTGGACGTTTAAGAGATATACGTTCATGGTTTAACATCTTTTAAACGTCTATGATTTGACATTTCATTAAGTTGAAATTATTTAAGTTTAATGAAGTTTGATTTTTATCTTAAGCAAATCAAAATTATGTGTTTTTTAAACCGGAACTTCTGCCTCTTAAAAGAAAAAACAAACTTTAAATGATATTTTTTAATTAGGAGCTACTAATTAAATCCGTAAAAAAATATTTAAAAAGGAAACATCTTCAAGAAATGTAAGAAAATCTCCGCTTAGTGACGCATAGTGTGTCGTTTCCTAATGTAGTTTACTTAAATTACTTGCCTTTTTATCTTCGGTGATCATATGGTCAAGTATATTAATGTGCAGTGCAAAACACAAACCTCAAGTTCGTTTGTAAGCGCTTAGTTAATCTCAGAACGCATTCAATTAGCTGACGGATCTGGATCAATTTTACACCCTTAAGTCACCTTTACAAAATCATTAAAACCAGTACTTTAAACCCTGACCTAATTGATTGCCAATATTTCGTGTGGCCCGAATTAAACTCATAAAACAGTTAATATGGTAAAATAAAAATCTCCTTTTTTACTCTATAGGGAAGTTTGAAGCCCTACATACGCATAAATCATCAAACTTTTCCAAGTTTCTAGAACTTTCTAGAAATATTTTTCAAAATTTGCTCACTACTTTATACCTAACCCAACAATATCAATATTTTTGAAACTAAAAATATTGATTTAGAAAAACTGAATATTTAGTTTTAACCAAATGAATTACAATTAAACACAGAAAAAAACCAAATGAATCTTTTTTTATTTCAACCAAAAAAAAAATTCCACTCATGTAGCTTTAATAAAAAAGTTAATAAAACCCAAGCAACCTTGTTACTTGGGATACTTATTGATATAAACATCTGACGGAAAGCGCAGGTAAATATGTAAAATATTGATATTGGGATACTCTACAAAACTTTACTGTTCTAAAATAATGTTACGTTCCTTTATTTACAATTTTAATACTTTTTCTTCTTCATTTATCATTTATACAAAACTATTATTGTACACCTATATATAAGATAATATTGCATAAAAATCATAAATTGATCACATTTTATCGAAAACAAAAACATTTCCAAGAATAATTAATTTAAAGATTAGTTCTCCATGCTGAGCAACTTTTAAAACACTTGAAAACATTAAATATCTATCAAATCGACATTCCAAAATTTAATTTTTCGCTAAAATATAAACTCTTTTTATTTTTTTTATTTAGTCTACAATAGCAAAAGTAATTTACAATTCAACAAAAATATAATAACTTTACATTTTAAAAAATCCAAATTGTTCTTTTCTGTTATATCATTGCTTCAATCTGCACGACGAAATTGTTTATCTAAAAATCTTAATTTTGCTTGTATTTTTTAAAAACATTATTAAAAAACTGCATCGCATCAACGCCAACAGTTTTATAAACTTTTTTTGAATCTAAAAAATAAAATCATTAAATGAAATCACACAATTCAGGTTAAATCAGGTCAATTAAAACCATGAACCATCAAATACAATTTATAAATACATAAACAAAAAAGAAATTAAAAAGTTTTTTTTTACAGCGACTATATTATCAATATATAACTAAGATACTAAAACATTTATGAGTTGTGAGCTACAACGTTAACATCTTTTCTTGAATTAATTTTTAGTTTTCAAGCTTTTATCTAAAAACAATTTGAGAATATTAATTTAAAAAGAAAAACTCAAAGTGAAAGGAAGTTAAAAAAATATAACAATTAACCAGTTTCTTATATAAGTTGGTTAATTACTTGTCATTTTTAAGTGCGAACTAACAAGTGTAAGGCGTTGCAAAAACTGGCATATATGCGAATCGGCATAAGTGCGCCAAAAATTTGCAAACATTGGCATAGGTCATAGCACTTATAACTGGTATAATTGCGAAGCAGTTGCAAAAACTTAAACAAATGTGAACTGGCATAAGTGCGTCGAACAAATTTGCAAACATTCGAATTTGTACAAGTGCGAACTGGCATAAGTGCAAAGCAGTTGCAAAAGTGCTAACGGGGATAAGTGCGCTGAATAAAATTAAAAATATCATCATAAGCGCAAAATAGCATTTCGTATTTATGCCAATTCGCACTTATGCCTATGTTTGCAAATTTATTTGGCACACATGCCAATTCGCTCTTATGCCAGTTCGCACTTGTACCAGTTTTTGCAACTGCTTTGCACTTATGCCAGTTCGCACTTACGCCATTCGCACTTATGCCAGTTTGCACTTAAAAAAGTTGCGCCTATTCAGTCTCTTTTCATTTAAGATGAAGATAAAAATACAAAGGTTTAGAGTTTGCACAATGCCTGAAAGTGTCATTTAAACCATCAAAAAATCTTGCCTGTGATGTAAAACACTTGTAAAATACATTGATTTGTAAAATGTATAGATTTTAATATTATAAAATTATATTATATTTATATTATCTTCGTATCATAAACTTGTAATGATTTAAGAACTAGCAAACAAAAAAAACACTAACTTTGTGATAATTTAATTGTAATTAATATTTGTAGGCAACACTGTCGTTTTTCCAATCCTTAACAAGGTTGTAAAACCTAGTTCAGGACCTTTGGATTGTGTGCTAAACCATAATACTTTAGAATGAACTTAACAAAACTTAAAGTAAGATTTGCTATTCAAGGCAAGAAATTTAAAAAAAAAAAAAGTTTTTTTACCTTGGTCTTAATCTGAATCGCCTTTGATGAATATTAAAACATTCGGGCCAGTTACTAGCATTAAACATTCGGGTCAGTTGCAAACATTACTATGCGATAATAACTTGGATATTGAGAATCATTTCTAACTTTTGAAAATGCTTTTTGTTTTTTAATTGTATATAAATTCCTTGAAGATGTGAAAATTCTTTTCAACAAAGATAATTTTTCATAAAGTTAGCTTAATTATTTTAATATCCCAATATAATTTTCTCAAAGCCTTTTTTTAGTGTATACGGATTTGAACACAGAATTTTTTTTCTTAACTCGGAGGGAAGTTTTTATACATTTTAATAACCGAAAAGTGGTTCTGAGATTATTTGTTGATTTCGTTCCGGTGTAGTTTAATTATTAATTTTCATTCAGCAAACAACACAAAAGTTTTTTTTTTTGTAGAGGATATTTGGAAGGAGAATAATTTAAATAAACTTTTTTTTCATGTATAAATTTTAATTTATAAAACAGATTTTTTCTTTGATTAAATCGTTTTGGTAAAAAACATACCAACAAAACCTATCAAAATACTTACAAGCCATCTTTATTTTTATTTTTATTAATTTATGAAGTTAGCTTTAGGAATTCCATTAAGAAAGTCTTCTTAAAAAGCTGTGACCGAGTTCTGAGTTTTTCTCATCTTAAAATGTTATAATTTTGTTTGTTTCCTTAAAACTGTTTACAGAATGATATATATAAAAACAAAAGATTAAAATGCGAATACATAAACGATGTAATAAAGGCCACTAGTTCGGCGTTTACAGCACCCAAATGTTAATTCATTAGGAATTTATTTTTTAACATAATTTCAAACTTTTTTTGCACAATTTAAACGATATACTTTACCAAACCTAAATTAAATTTTTTATTTATTTATTGATAGTAACACCAGTTTTTTTTTTTTTGAGATGCTTCTAGAGAGTCACTGACAGGGGAGATTCTGAAAATATAAAAAAAAACGAGTTGTTATTTTTCCCAAAATAATAACTCGTAAAATGCTCAGAAATAACAACTCGTGAAGCCCAGTTTGAACGCAAACTGCGTTCAAACTGGGCCTTAATTAATTAGTTAATTGGCAAAACTTCAATAATTTCAACCATATTGGCAGAATTGTTGTTGGAATCTACTCTCCAAAGTAACTTGAGAAAAGGGCAAAGTATCCTTTTCTTTAAACTCCAGACATGATTTTCAAAGCCTTTAGTTAAAAAAGTGCATAAGCGTGTAACTTGGAATGTTCTTAAAGGTTAATGAAGTC